CTAGTAGTTCAATATTTTGAGCACCAATGAATTTGAACCACCACGGCATCGGATTCCAGAGGCCGCGAACTTGCGAGAAAACGCGATGAGACCGTTCAATTTGGTATTTTGAGGCGCTGTGGGTAGGCAACCGTGGTGGTTTAAATTGCCTGCTGGGTGTCAAACGAAGGTGACCGACCAGTTTTTCAAAAATTTGAGCACCAATGAATTTGAACCAACACGGTATTGGATTGCATGAGCCCCGAACTTGCGGGAAAACGCGATGAAATCGTTCAACTCAGCATGTTTGAGGCGCTCTAGGTAGGCAACCGTGGTGGTTCAAATTGCCTGCTGGCTCTCAAACGAAGGTGTCCGACCAGTTGTTCAATAATTTGAGCACCAATGAATTTGAACCACCACGGCATCGGATTTCACGAGCCCCGAACTTGTAAGATTACGCAAGAAAATCGTTCGATCTGGCATGTTTGAGGCGACGCGGGTAGGCAACCCTGGTGGTTCAAATTGCCTGCTGGGTCGCAAACGAAGGTGACCGACCAGTTGTTCAATAATTTGAGCACCAATGAATTTGAACCACCACGGCATCGGATTCCAGAGGCCGCGAACTTGCGAGAAAACGCGATGAGATCGTTCAATTCGGCATGTTTGAGGCGATGCTGGTAGGCAACCGTGGTTGTTCAAATTGCCTGCTGGGTCTCAAACGAAGGTGACCGACCAGTTGTTCAATAATTTGAGCACCAATGAATTTGAACCACCACGGCGTCGGATTCCCCGAGCCCCCAAATTGTAAGATAACGCAAGAAACTCGTTCGATCTGGCATGTTTGAGGCGGTGCTGGTAGGCAACCGTGGTGGTTCAAATTGCCTGCTGGGTCTCAAACGAAGGTGACCGACTAGTAGTTCAATATTTTGTGCACCAATGAATTTGAACCACCACGGCATCGGATTCCCTAGGCCGCGAACTTGCGAGAAAACGCGATGAGACCGTTCAATTCGGTATGTTTGAGGCGCTGTGGGTAGGCAACCGTGGTGGTTCAAATTGCCTGCTGGGTGTCAAACGAAGTTGACCGACCAGTTGTTCAATAATTTGAGCACCAATGAATTTGAACCACCACGGCATCGGATTCCACGAGCCCCGAACTTGCGGGAAAACGCGAGGAGATCGTTCAACTCAGCATGTTTGAGGCGCTCTAGGTAGGCAACTGTGGTGGTTCAAATTGCCTGCTGGGTCTCAAACGAAGGTGTCCGACCAGTTGTTCAAAAATTTGAGCACCAATGAATTTGAACCACCACGGCGTCGGATTTCACGTGCCCCGAACTTGTAAGATTACGCAAGAAAATCGTTCGATCTGGCATGTTTGAGGCGACGCGGGTAGGCAACCCTGGTGGTTCAAATTGCCTGCTGGGTCGCAAACGAAGGTGACCGACCAGTTGTTCAATAATTTGAGCACCAATGAATTTGAACCACCACGGCATCGGATTTCACGAGCCCCGAACTTGTAAGATTACGCAAGAAAATCGTTCGATCTGGCATGTTTCAGGCGCTGCGGGGAGGCAACCCTGGTGGTTCAAATTGCCTGCTGGGTCTCAAACGAAGGTGACCGACTAGTAGTTCAATATTTTGAGCACCAATGAATTTGAACCACCACGGCATCGGATTCCAGAGGCCGCGAACTTGCGAGAAAACGCGATGAGATCGTTCAATTCGGCATGTTTGAGGCGATGCTGATAGGCAACCGTGGTGGTTCAAATTGCCTGCTGGGTCTCAAACGAAGGTGACCGACCAGTTGTTCAATAATTTGAGCACCAACGAATTTGAACCACTGCAGAAGTTGTCTTTTGAAGGCACTGAAGTTGGAAGATACAACACCATGTGCAAGTGGAATCGGTGTTTTGGCCATTGTGTTGGCTTCTAATGACGTAATTTACGTTATTTACGCCAGTTTTACTTATTTTAACGTTGAGCCGTGCTTGTATTTTCATTTTCTTCCGTTTTGGTTGATTTCCCCTTCTATAGCACGATCCGTAAAGCTGAACCGTTTTTGGCCAAAATTTTTTGGCCAAAAAGGCGGACGTATGTCTCGCGGCCTTTTCCTCCAATCCGCGCCTGGCGTACCTATCTTGGCCTGCGGCGCTAGCCTGCCTTCGGCAGGCATTGGCTTGTCCATCGTCGGTGACTTTTTACTTGTTGGCCCGCCCTTCTATTCAAATATTCAAAAAATAGGGGGGGGGGGCTATGCATTTGCCTTTGTGTCTGTGTGTTGTTGTTGTTGGCGTCTGTGTACAAGGAAGGAGTTGAGCTAGAGGAACCAGATTTGGAGGGTACTTCAGGAGTACCGTCCAAACAAATATTCCGGTGGTGCAAATCCCTTCCGGGTCGCACAAGGGCTGCTGCAGGTGCATCATGGTTTACATGAGCGGGAGGGGGATTTCCGCCATTATTGGTGCTAGCAGGGCACGTAGGGGTATTTTTGGAATCGGGGTGACGAGACAAAATGAATGGACCTGGTCCCGACCCCATCGGCCGCTTTTACAAGTTGGCCAGATCAGGATCTTCGAAAAAGGGGGTCGACCGACTAAAAAATTTTATTGCAGATTTCGATTCGTCTCAGCAAGACCTTTTCAACGAGGGGTCGGAAAGGGGGTCCAGGAGCCCGACTTCGTCTGTTACATGAGTCTCTCATGGTCTATTAGTCACATCAGGATCTTGAAAAAAGGGGGTCGACCGACTGAAAATTTTTACTTAAGTTTTCGATAGGTCTTGGCAAGACCTCTTCAACGAGGGGTCGGAAGGGGGGTCCAGGAGCCCGCCTTCATGAGTTATGGGAAAAAGTGCGACGGACTCGTTTTGCGCTCCTGCTGTGCAGGATTGCAAGGAGTTGCAGTAGTATGGCAAATATGGGTATTTTCGGAATGAGGGCGAAGAGACAAATGAAATGGGCATATTCTAAGGACAGTTGGAGTAAAAAGTGTAAGGACTATTGCATATTGTGAAAAGAAGGGTGGGCCTGGCCTAAGTCACGATGGTACATCGATAACTTTGCTTTACCCGCTCACGGTGTGTGTGATGCGAGCGGGCCGAAGGCCCGGGCCTTCGACTGGCCAAGTTGGGTCTGATGCGAGGGCCGAAGGCCCGAGGAAAGGCCGCCGGCAGGCCAAGCTAGGCCGGCCCCCTGTCGAACCGAGTTGCCGGCGAAGCGGAGCTGGCAACTCGGTTCGATGGAAGGGCGGGCCCTAGCTTGTTGCATACTGGGGCCACCTTCATTCTAGATAGAGTTGTTTCATCAACAGATATCACGATACCCTTGTAACTTTTTAACTTCTCGAGGCTGGGGGGGGCACATGAAAATTTCAAGAAAAAACTTTGATTGAAAACTCGAAAACAGTCAAATACTATTATTGGCTGAGCGATAGCGAAGCCTGTTACTCCAGTGCGGTTGAAAAGTTTTGTCTGTCTGTCCGTCTGTCTGTGTGTCTGTGTGTGTACACTACTTCTCCTGAACGGCTCGGCCGATCTGGCTGAGATTTTGCAGGCTCATTAGGTATGTTCTTGGCTCGGCACACGCGAAATTTCACCATCCTAGCTCAACTGGTTCAGTTTTTATAGCCGAAAAACACCTAAAAACGGCGAAAAATCGAGTTTTCTGCAGGTAGATCACCTTCAATTCTTCGGCTCGGTAAACTTCAAATTCAGGAAGCAGGAGCAGTTTTATTTTACCACGCAGAGCCCCTGCGAAATATGCTTTGTCGGACCAGCCCGTTTGTTGTGTATACGGCGCGGCCTGACACGGCGTGGTGGTGATTTGGCGATGCCGGGTTAGAAGTTTGGAAACGCGTCCAATTACTTTCAATTCCTAGCAAATATATTGAATAGGAATTTTGTGTGATGGCCGAAGAAGATTTACCTCAGAGGCGCAAATGCCCTCACGACAAGAGGCTGATCAGACATATATGCACCTTTTGATAACCACCATAAAATTTAGCCCCTCCCCCTTTAAAAAATGAGTGACTAAATGAATTAATATAACAAGGTAGGTTTACGCCAGACCGCGTCTTGTCATAACAGGCTTCGCGATGTCTCGCGGCCTGTTCCTCCAATCCGCGCCTGGCGTACCTACCTTGGCCTGCGGCGCTAGCATGCCTTCGGCAGGCATTGGCTTGTCCATCGTCGGTGACTTCTAACTTGCATACGGGGGGGCTGCCCCCCTTTATTCTAGATAGAGTTGTTTCATCAACAGATATCACAATCTTGATCCTTGTAACTTTTTAACTTGTCCTGGCTGGGGGCCCCGCCCCCCAGACCCCCCTTCCTTCAACACAGAAGTGATCTGCCTGCAGAAGACTCGATTTTTCGCCGTTTTTTAAGCGTTTTTCGGCTATAAAAACTGAACCACGTGAGCTAGGATAGTGAAATTTCGCGTGTGCCGAGCCAAGAATATACCAAATAAGCCTGCAAAATCTCACCGAGATCGGCCGAGCCGTTCAGGAGGAGTAGTGTACACACACAGACAGACAGACAGAAAAAACTTTTCAACCCCACTGGAGTAACAGGCTTCGCTATCGCTCAGCCAATAACTCTCAACTTAAAGAGAACTCAAGTCTAGAAATCTTCCGACGATGCTGTGTCACCTTCACAGGCTCTAAGCTAATTCTATAAATTGAGCATACGTACCTCGTTCCCGTGAGTTGGCCCTTCTCCTTTTTTTTCCCTTGGTCGTTTCGGAATAGGTTCACCATCAGAATTCGAACCCAGTTAACATTGCAATATTCTCAGAATGTCCTGAGGATGTCCCGTATGGGACACGGGATAGTCCCAGAACGACATGCCTGGCACCTTCCCAGGAGTAGCGAATGTATGTTTTCTTAGTGTCCTGGGAATGTCCTGAGGAGTATCTTCCCGCACTATGTTGTGGGACATTCTCAGGAGTATCTCACCCAGGACCCTCTATCCCCCCCCCTTTCCCCCTTTATTTTCATAGGAATGTAGCACAAGAACAATCAAAATTTTATTCATGCAGAAAACTTTATTCAGTACGCATGCACATATTATAACAAATCACAAATAATTGTTTAACAGTTCATTGGAAAATAGATATATGACAGAATGTGGGTCATTTGAACAATGGGAAAAATAAACAGAGGTAATCCTATCCACCTTAACGATATAAACCCAAGTCAAGAATGTAATGGTTCAAGTTATGTAAACTTGTCGTTATTCAAAACAATGCTTGTTTGAAGCAAAACCAGAAGAAAACCACAAAGCTTCATTCACATAACATTTATGAACAGTCACTTAAGATAGACATGACATTACATATTGTAACAAACAAGGAGCACACACAACACATGACCCATAACATGAAAATAATTAACAATGCAAGAAGTTGAACTTTGATACAACACATTAAAGCAGGATTGACACAAAAGACAAGAAATCAAGAGTAAATATTGATTGCAATGACAAACAATAATATCTTCATGAAACTGGCATCTGTAGTTAAAGAAATAAATCGAATAAGCATCTACGATAGGCCCACTTCAGCATATTGACCTAATCGTGCTATTTTAGGTCAATCACTGACTCGAAAACTTGTCATAATTAGTGACAATCCATTTCAGAAGCAAATGGATAAGGAGATTCGAAATATAAAAGCTCTCTTAAAGAAATAAGAAAATTTAAATCACATAAAAGAATCCTGTCCTGAAAATTAAAAAAAAAATACCCATAAAATCACAAAATTTAACCCGTTCCCTATTTGAAATACCAGGCAACTGAGATACCATAGAGGAAACACTCCGAACCAATTCAATTGACTAAACTGGTTTGTGAGTAAATAAAGATCAAACACCAACCAGGCAAAGAAAATAAACAAACATGAACTGTAAATCAAAATTTTTGCTAAGCAACTGTTCGATTCGATTTGGGAGCAACAAAACTTTCTATAAAGTGAATTCAAGTCACTTTCTAATTACTTTTTAGGCTCGTTGCAAAGGAACTAACCAAGTGAGCATGATAGGGGGCAGTGTCGAGTAATAAATCATCATCATCGTAACCTGTAGAACAAAACCACAAGACCATTAATGTTAAAACTACTTGGTTTGAAAGTGTGAAATGATCAAAAGCTAAAACACAAAAACACTGTTACTTACAGATTTGAGAACATCCTAGTACAAAAACTGAAGTAGAGACCTGTCTTGAAGGCAAACTTTTAGTTGTCGCGTTTTTCATAACTGAAGCGATAACTCTCAAAACTGAAACCCGTTGTCTTGAGAACATGATGAAGATGGAACTTCATTCCAGTTTCTGAATACTGAACCTGAGACAAAAGAGATGAAAGGGAAAAATTAACTAAGGCTTGGCATGGCAACCTCCAAATAACTACTGTTAGAAATATTAAAATTATTCAAATGAGCAATAAAAGTACTTACATGTTACACAAGAATCCCAGGACAAAAGTCGCATGATTTGGAGGCATTCTTGAGGGCAAAATCTTGTCGCTCACATCCTGGACTGGAATACGCAACTCATAAAACTAAAAACCGTTGCCCAAGTAGACCACTTGACACTTCAATACTTCCATCGTCCACCTGTTGCAGGACACGCCTCGGGCATACACAATAATATTCAGCGAAGCTCCTGCATCAGGATAAGATGTCGTCTGCAAGAAAAATCACCATTTAATAGACAAACATTATAACATTTGCATGAGTTAATTGTAACTTTCAGTTTAAGCTTATGACTTCAAGATACGCGTCACCGCATCTGAGGTGAGGGGGAAAGGGACAAATAAATTGGAGGGTAGTCACGTTCACCAAAATGGTAAAATGCTAAACAGAACATGATTTCACTTTTAGAGTAAATGCTTCAAGAAAACATAACCTAACCATAACCTGCAGCAACAGAGCCGGTGAGCGTCAAACCACAGAGCGTAGGGATGTTTTGTAGTGGAATAATTTCGAAAAAGGACGTTACAACACTAAAACGCACTATGGAATGTCGCCTGCGACAATTTTTGCCTCTCTAAAGAGAATGAAATAGACTTAGGCTCACACAGCATCCACACTTGTGAAACATGTTGATCGGCTTTGTTTTCTGACGTGCAAAAGCAGTCGCGTTAAACTTTCTACACGCTCCTACCTTTCCATTTCACTCTGAAGTTTCCACTGGTGGCGCAGATATTTGTATGCCATAGAATAATTGCAGTTTTCTTGACGCGCGAAACAAAGCGGCGTCCTGGCGTCCGTCGGCGTCGCGTGCGTGCTGAGCGGCTGCCGTGCCGTGTCGAGCTGGAGCCGAGCAATGAGCTGTGATTGGCTGTGACCGTCACGTGGGTGCATGCGCAGTGCCAACGGCGAAAATCAGTCATAGAAAGATTGTAATTTTTTTTACAATATTTGCGGATAGATTCTATTTTTCTTTTGTCTCTTAGTGATTATTCAGATTTCATTTAGTAGATTACGTTTTAAATACATCGTCTGTTAAGTTTTATTTGCCATGCCATAGGTCGCGACAGTTGGCAACAATTTCGCGGCGAACGCCCCGCGCGTTCTGCCCTCTGTGTCAGCGGAAATCGCTCACTGTTGGATGTACTGTGGACATTCGGGGAATGTCTGAGACGGGATAGTGCTGGGATGGACCTGAGGTTGATGTCCTGAGGAGCTCCGTCCAGGATGGCGCCAGGAGTATCCTAGCCAGGATCTCTCCAAGATATGCCTCAGTACTTCCAGCGGGGAGTGTCCCGCCTAGGAGACTGGGGAAATATGCTCAGGAGTATCCTGGCTGGGACAGCGACATTAAATGTTGACTGGGAATGTTCATGAACTTATGAATAAGTACCTGAATCGTGATAAAAGTTACTTTCCCTTGCTTGATTTTCCTTTACGAGAGCAACAGAAATTGGGCTCAGATCCAACTGGCCACGCTTCACACAAGTCCTCTCCCCTGAAATTTTGGTAATAAGCCAACAACAAATCCTGTAACAAAATATACGATCCAGAGAAGGCAGTCTCAATATTGCGGCAGTGTAGCCAAGGGGTCAATGAACTAGTGATTACACCTCAGCAAATCAAATTGAAATTGAAAGGGTGAAATTCACGAAAAACCTCGAAATTTGTCTCATATTAGGGTCAGGGCGGGGAAGAACTGGACGTTTTGCAATCTTTCTCGATTTTGACTCTGATTGACTATCTTTAGCCAATGTATTCGTTGGGTCTGTTGATCGAGCCTCAAAGAAAGACATTTCAACCCTCAGCGAGTGCGTTTGCGGCTTCATTCAGTAATAAATGAGAAAAAACAGTGTGCGATTCTTCCCCGTCGAAACGGGGAAAAATCGAACACCTAAGGGGAAAAATCGGACATAGGCTTTAATTTAACAAAAACCTTTGCGATACCCACTGAAGCAGGCGCACGAGTATTCCTAGGTAGACAGAAATCATCTTAGCATTGTTAGGGGATCCGTGGCGGCACGTTTTTGAGGTTAAATGACCAAAATGTATGAAATCGTCAACAGCCGTGTTTGTTTTCCCACTAAATGTTGGGAAATGCTAAAATACATTTGTTACGACCACTTTGGTGGGATGTTAGGGCAATTCATCGATTATTATAGAAAAAAGAGGTGTTCGATTTTTCCCCGCACCAGTGTACGGTTTTTCCCCTTTTCGTATTAAATCCTTCATATGTAATCCAGCTGGAAATCTGCTAAAACATTTGAACGTATCTTGGGCTCCACACTTCCAACTTTCGTTTACAATAAGAATATTCGTCACAGTAGGCTCGGAAAGTCGGTTAAAAGAGATATTGCGGGCACCAACTTTGAAAGTTTTTAAGGTGTTTTAAACGAGACCTCGTTTAAAGGTGACTTTGAATACTTTCCGGTTCAAGTAGGCTAAATTCCTCTTGAACGAAATCTAGCAGATCATCAATAAGCAATACTGAATACTTTGCACGTCCCAAAACAGGTAAATCTGTGGCGAAAGTGCGGTGTGCGTTTCTTCCCCAACTTGCAGGTGTCCTGTTTTTCCCGCCGCCCTGACCCTACCGCGTTCTACGGTACCCATAAAGAACGCTCTTTGTGATAATTTATCTGTTTGGTTCGATTAATTTGATGTCCAGTATTGTTTCGATTGCTCTGTCCATTAGCTGGGAAAGGAGCGCTACTCTAGGAGGCTAGCCGAAGTTTCTTCTCCTGCAAGGGAGGGGTTGGAAGTTTTGTTTTAAGCTCTGAGTTAAGGATGTCGTTCTCACTCTTACAAGTTATTTGTTTGTGTTATACTCTGGCGGAGGAAGTCGCCGAAGTACATAGGAAGCTTCTATCGTTCTTTGTCATCCCCGTCCAGAAAAGTATTTCCCTCTCTGCGTATGGATCTTTCTTTGTTATGAATCCAAACATCAGAGCACTCACTAATCTTATGGCCAACTTTTGTGTTTACACTCGTCACGATTGTGTCTGGGGTAGTACTGCGAAGTGTATTTTAACTAATAAGAGTAGATTTATTTAATAAGGACAGGTCCTTACAGTGACCCCTTTCGATTTCCGCGCTTGATGGCTTGGCAGATTGCTTACCTAAGTAGATGTCCAAAAATAAAATATTAGGTCGGTCGAAGCCTTCTTGGCCGAGTAATAGGTAACTTTGTTTTTATTTCTGAAAAAAGCTGGGTATTTTGGGTATTTTTTATATGAGACGTAAATTTTGAGCGAGGTGGATGAAAATTTGTTTTCTGGTGTAAAATTAAATACGGAACACGTTGGTGCCCTCGGAATTGATCTACGACCAATACTTTCGGAGATATCGGCCTCCAAAGTTGAAAAAAGGGGCCAAAATGAAGCAAAATACCCAAATCTTGGGATTTCGGCTACCATTGGACCTTTTGACACGATTCAACGCTCATTTTGTAGAAAAAAAGACGCGGAATCCAATGAGCATACGCGCAGGTCTGTACGACGAACCGTTCAGGAGATACGCGGCTCTAAAGATAGCCATTTTTCGTGGGGTGCCGAAAATGTTGTTTTTGCACCTTTTCTGACTGTTGAGCCCACAGTGACACGTATCCTTCCTTCGCGAAGTGCTCGGCTCAGGGGAAGGCGTTTCTTTGGCGAAACGCAGCCCACTGACAGATTAGAGAGAAGGCAGGTGCTCAGGAAGAAAAACACTCTACAAATCAAAGAGTGTACATGGTACGCTCTAACTGGAGCATGCTTGCAAGCACGCTCTAACTAGCACATGCCTGCCAAGCATGCACTAACTAGTGCATACATGCCATGTACACGCTAACTGAAGCAGACGTTTACTCCATAAGGGACAGGGAGTTTTCTGCATCAGGAAGGGTGTACATGGCATGTATGCACTAGTTAGTGCATGCTTGGCAGGCATGCGCTAGCTAGAGCGTGCTTGCAGGCATGCTCCAGTTAGAGCATACTATGTACACTCTTTGATTTGAAGAGCACCACTGAGGGTGCCGTGGATGTGGGGAACCCACCATCCACGCAGTACAGAAGCCCGTCCCGATTCAGCCCCGATGACCTGTTTCCGGGCCAGAGCCCCGGCCGAGCACTGTTCGGGATTATTTTGTGAAATTACGACTAGTTGTCTGTTAAATATGTACCACGAACTGGTCGTAAATTTCAAAAACGATCTGATCGTCCATCTTTTTTTCGTCAATTTACAAAAATATTCTTTAACTTACAAACTTAATCCTCAAATTTTGGTCGTTTCAGGCACTTTTTCTTCCCATATTAGTAAGGAAACAACGGACGAAAACGCATTTTTCAGACTTGCTTTTACAATCATACTTGTAAATTTACAATTTCACCTGTAAAATTAAGAAGCAGTTTGTACAATGATGAACACTTTGTCAATTTACAATTTACTTTGTAAAAAAGTTCCGCCAAGGCAAGCTTAGCAAAGCGGTCTTGCCGTGGACCGGCCGGGGAGGCCGGGCAGAGAGGGGGCAAGAAGGGTGGGGGTGGCTGTGAGGAGTGGGGACTGGCGGCGCGGCGAGGTGTAAATGGGATCAGGATTTTCTGATCATTTACCCATTTTTCTGATAAAATTTGGGATTTTCTGATCATTGGCGTACTATCAGAAAAATTGGCATCAGAATTGCAAGAATTTCTGATAACTGTGAAATGATCAGAGAAAAAGTCTGATCGTTAATTATTGATCTGGGAAAATTTCTGATCGGAAAAGTGATCAGACAGTGATCAGAACAGAGTCATCAGAAAACATAGACATTCTGATAACACGCAAAACTATCAGAAAATCGGATGTCTAAAAAATCTAGATGCCTGTAAAACAGAAAGTTTTCGGAATTTTGGTTTCAAATTTGGTGAGCGGTATGTTCGCGACATTTGGCTAGGGCATTTTCAAGGTCATGAAATTTAGACCATATCTTCTGGCCTCGCCGCGCCGCCAGTCCCCACTCCTCACAGCCCCCCCCACCCTTCTTGCCCCCTCTCTCCCCGGCCCCCGGCCGGCCACGGCAAGACCGCTTTGCTAAGCTTGCCTTGGCGGAACTTTTTTACAAAGAAAATTTGTAAATTGACAAAGTGTTATCTTTTACAAACTGCTTCTTATTTTACAGGTAAAATTGTAAATTTACAAGTATGATTGTAAAAGCAAGTCTGAAAAATGCGTTTTCGCCCGTTGTTTCCTTACTAATATGGGAAGAAAAAGTGCCTGAAACGACCAAAATTTGAGGATTAAGTTTGTAATTTAAAAGAATATTTTTGTAAATTGACGAAAAAAAGATGGACGATCAGATCGTTTTTGAAATTTACGACCAGTTCGGGGGTACATTTTTAACAGACAATAGTCGTAATTTCACAAATAACCCCGAACAGTGCTGGGCCCGGGGCTCTGGCCCGGGAAAACAGGTCATCGGGGCTGAATCGGGAGGGGCTTCTGTACTGCGTGGATGGTGGGTTCCCCACATCCACGGCCCCCTCAGTGGTGCTCTTCAAATCAAAGAGTGTACATAGTATGCTCTAACTGGAGCATGCCTGCAAGCACGCTCTAGCTAGCGCATCCCTGCCAAGCATGCACTAACTAGTGCATACATGCCATGTACACCCTTCCTGATGCAGAAAACTCCCTGCCCCTTATGGAGTAAACGTCTGCTTCAGTTAGCGTGTACATGGCATGTATGCACTAGTTAGTGCATGCTTGGCAGGCATGTGCTAGTTAGAGCGTGCTTGCAAGCATGCTCCAGTTAGAGCGTACCATGTACACTCTTTGATTTGTAAGTGTTTTTTTTCCTGAGCACCTGCCTTCTCTCTAATCTGTCAGTGGGCTGCGTTTCCCCAAAGAAACCCCTTTCCCCTGAGCCGAGCACTTCGCGAAGGAAGGATACGTGTCACTGTGGGCTCAACAGTCAAAAAAGGTGCAAAAACAACATTTTCGGCACCCCACGAAAAAAAGGCTACTTTAGAGCCGCGTATCTCCTGAACGGTTCGTCGTACAGACCTGCGCGTATGCTCATTGGATTCCGCGTCTTTTTTTTTTACAAAATGAGCGTTGAATCGTGTCAAAAGGTCCAATGGTAGCCGAAATCCCCAAAATTTGGGTATTTTGCTTCATTTTGGCCCCTTTTTTCAACTTTGGAGGCCGATATCTCCCAAAGTATTGGTCGTAGATCAATTCCGAGGGCACCAACGTGTTCCTTATTTTAAATTTTTCACCAGAAAAAAAATTTTCATCCACCTCGCTCAAAAATTTTCGTCTCATAAAAAAAAACCCAAAAAACCCAGCTTTTTTCAGAAATAAAAACAAAGTTACCTATTACTCG